CCCCCCTCCCCCCCCCCCCCCCAGGAAGAATTGGAGCGACTGAACCAGGCCAGCGAGGAGATCAACCAGCTTGAGCTGCAGTTGGATGTGAGTGTTGGGTCACTTCTCTGTAAGTCTGTCCGGGTGCTCCAGCCAGGTATACTCACATGTATTATACCGCCCCCTGCAGGATGCCCGCACCGCCTACCGCCGAATCCTCACCGAGTCCGCCAGACGTCTGAATTCTCTGGCCACTCAGCTCGGAGCCTGCATTGAAAAAGCCAGACCGTACTACGAAGCGAGGAGACTGGCCAAGGAGGTATTATATGTCTGCTGTTCTGTGTCGGCTGTACGGATCATCATTTCATCATCATTATTCTCTGCAATAAGAGCTGAAAAATCACAATCACATGGCCAAAAATAACAATTGATGTGGCGCACAGCACACTTGCTCAAGGCAGCGGAAGACCCTCAGTGTGCGTCTGCGCCACATGCAGCAAACCAAGCACTGGCAGCCATTCAAATCAGTTTATAACCAGCGATGGAAAGGTGCATATCCAGTACACACAAGGAGCTCCTACACTATATTGCCAAAAGTATTGGGACACCCCTCCAAATCGTTGGATTCAGGTGTTCCAATCACCTCCATGGCCCCAGGTTTATAGGATGAAGCACCTCGGCATGCAGACGCTTCTACAGACATTGGTGAGAGAACGGGTCGCTCTCAGGAGCTCAGTGACTACAAGCGTGGTATCGTGATAGGTTGTCACCTGTGCAATAAGTCCATTCGTGAAATTTCCTGGCTACTAAATATTCCGCGGTCACCTGTTACTGGTATTATAACAAAGTGGAAGCAACTGGGAACAACAGCAACTCATCCAGGAAGTGGTAGGCCACATAACATGACAGAGCGGGGTCAGAGCATGCTGAAGCGCACAGTGCGCCGAAGTCGCCAACTGTCTGCAGAGCCAATAGCTACAGACCTCCAAACTTCATGTGGCCTTCAGATTGGCACAACAACAGCGCGTAGAGAGCTTCATGGAATGGGTTTCCATGGCCGAGCAGCTGCATCCAAGCCGCACATCACCAAGTGCAATGCAAAGCATGGGATGCCGTGGTGTAAAGCACACCGCCACTGGACTCTAGAGAAGAGGAGGCGTGTTCTCTGGAGTGACCAATCACGCTTCTCTGTCTGGCAATCCCATGGACGTGTCTGGGTTTGGCGGTTGCCGGGAGAACGGTACTTGCCTGACTGCATTGTGGCAAGTGTAAAGTTTGGTGGAGGGGGGATTATGGGGAGGGGGTTGTGTTTTAGGGGTTGGGCTTGGCCCCGTAGTTCCAGTGAAGGGAACTCTTAAGGCATCAGCACACCAAGACATTTTGTGGGAGGAGTTTGGGGACGGCCCCTTCCTGTTCCAACATGACTGTGCACCAGTGCACAAAGCAAGGTCCATAAAGACATGGATGGGGGAGTTTGGGGTGGAGGAACCTGACTGGCCTGCACAGAGTCCTGACCTCAACCCGATAGAACACCTTTGGGATGAATTTGAGCGGAGACTGCGAGCCCGGCCTTCTCCTCCAACATCAGTACCTGACCTCACAAATGGTCCAACATTCCCATAGACACACTCCTAAACCTTGTGGACGCCTTCCCAGAAGAGTTGAAGTTGTTATAGCGGCAAAGGGCGGAGCCAACCCAATACTGAACCCTACGGACTAAGACAGGGATGCCATTAAAGTTCATGTGCGTGTAAAGGCCGGCGTCCCAATATTTTTGGCAATATAGTGTGTGTGCACAGAGCAAAATGCCCTTTTGAATAACAAGACCAGGTCTGTCACTGCTATTCCTGCTCTGTGTAGCTCACAGCAGGTTTGGGGAAAATTGGTGCATGTAAATCTGTCGGCCATTTTTTTATGTTTGTGCCGACTTGCAAAGCACCAGATTGGAAAGCTGAAGATACTTAGTGAATTCGGAGGTCTTCTTCAGATGAGGTTTATGTCTGAGGACTATGTGCTTCATATTGCATTACTTTTGCTTTTCTCAGGTGTAAGGCCTTGTTCACACCAAGCGCGGAGCAGATCCAGAGCAGGTGCAGACCGGATCAAAACTGCGTCCAATGTATTCCTATGGTATTTTGACCTCCAGTTCACATCGCAGCGTGCGGATCCAGACCGGATGAAAAAACTGCGGCAAGCCCTATTTTACCTGCTCTGGATCTGGTCTGGAACGCATCAAAAACACATGCAAGTGCCTGAAAGCCCATGTTAAACTTTTTTTTACCAAAACCGGCCCTAAACGCATCCAAAGCGCGTCTAAAACGCGGCACAACCCACTGCACTGCGTGTGCAGAAACCTGACCGGATCTGGTCTGCATTTGGTGTGAACAAGGGTGTAGTTGTACTATTAGAATATGACGGGGGCATTTACAGTATGTATGTATGTATGTATGTATGTATGAAGGTCTGATTTTGTTTTACCTGCCAGGCTCAGCAGGACACTCACAGCGCAGCTCTGCGGTACGAGAGGGCGGTCAGCATGCACGCTGCTGCCCGGGAAATGGTGTTCGTGGCTGAGCAAGGTGTCACCGCTGACAAGAACAGACTGGACCCAACGTGGCAAGAAATGCTGAACCATGCTACCTGCAAAGTAAGAGAGGGCGGGCAGTGCCAGGGTAATAGGGAAAATACACCCTCGGAGCTTGCTTCCTCGTGCTACCACCTAGGTCCCTGGTGCCATGTGGAAAGAGGTCTGGGATAGCGGTCATTTGCCCCAGTGATGTTTTAGAAACCGCACCCGGTCTTAGTGGCTGTTGTGGGTCCAAGCTGTGATTTAGTGTGGGGAACTGCCCGCTATAAGTGACATCCACAGTCCAGCATGTAGCTCAGGAGCTCTGATCAGCTCATATGTTTGCAATCACTGAAACGCAATTCTTCCATGTTATGTTTAAAGAGGATTCACCGTGATATTACCTGATGATGCAGCACTTTCTGTCAGTTAAGTGGCTGCCATTAAAGCGTTCCTCCCCATTATATTACACCATCAGCAACTGTGAAGTGAAAGCGGAATTAAAGTTAAACATTAAACACTTGCCAGCAGGCAGGCTCTCTTTATTGCAGAGGTGACGTGTTATGTCTCTTCTGCAGTAACTTACCTGCCTGTTTGCAATCTTCTTTTAGAATGTATACTGAACTGCACATGTGAAGCTCAGTGTACATTCTCACCATGCCTCAGAGCTGGGATGAATTACCTCCCATGCGCATGTGTGGCAGTTTTGTTATCCTGCGCTGGCATCAGTCAAGATAGCCGCAGACCCTGTACCCGGAACATGGCACCGAGGAGGTATTAGCATTTGTTAGCCCCTTTATGATTGCAGTAAAGTTAAAGGAGAACTATGAGAAGTGTTTTCCCCCCATAGTTCTCCTCAGGGTCATGGGAGGACATAAACTAACATCCTCCCGTGACCCAAAGCTCAGTATACAGCAAGCTACAGCTCGCGGTATACTGAGACCGCCACAGCCGGGACGGATCCCAACATTACTGTTGAGATCCACCCAGCTGCGTGAGTGACAGCTGGCTCTGCCTATCTAGAGGCAGAGCCAGCTGTACCTGCCCCCTCCCCCGTCCGTTCCTCCAGTCAGCGCTGGGGGATCGGAGGGGGGAATCCCTGCAGGGAGCCGTGAGCGACTGTCATGGTTCTCTGCAGGGTCATAATTGAGAAGTGAGCGAGCGATGGTATGTGTTCGCACACTTCCCGAAAATCACTCACCTCATGGTTCTCTTTTAAGTGAAAAAAATTTATAAAACCAACCCTGCCATCTGCATGCGAATACACACATGACCTAAATGATGCTTTTACCACAGATGTGCGGTATCACCAGGAACGTCGGAATGAGAACAATAATACCAGGGCCATAATTCGCTGTTAACCCTAAACTGATGAAACGGCTTTTAAAGCGTCGCATATGGACATTTTTGGGTACCATAGTTTTTCACCCATTGCACAGGGCATGCACAGTTTTAACTCTTGACATGTTTGGTATCTATTTACTTGTGAGCCCATCGTTTATTTTTTTACTAGGGATGCACCAATATCGGTCTTTTGGTATCGAAACGACGAGTACCAATTTTTTTTCTGATACTTGCCGATGCTGAATACCGATAGCGGAAGTGCCAATTAGGAAGCCAGGCGGCGTGTAATGACTCGCCACCCGGCTTCCTGATGAGCCGGAAAGCCGTCTCCATACTCCCCTGTGTAATGACACGTTGCCCGGCTTCCTGATTAGTCAAGAAGCTGGCCATTCAGGAAGCCTGGCAACACGTCATTACACGGCGCCCGGCTTCCTGATTGGCCGGGAAGCCGGCTCCATGCTCCCTCGTCACCAGGTGACAAGGGAGCATGAAGCCAGCTTTCTGGCAAATCGGGAAGCCGGGGGATGTGTAATGACATGCTGCCCAGCTTCCTGATTGGCCGGCTCCGTGCTCCCTCGTCACGAGGGAGCATGGTGACTGCTTCCCAGCCAATCGGGAAGCCGGGCAGTGTGTAATGACTCGCTGCCCGGTTTCCTGATACCGGAAGCTCAAGTATCAGGCTAGGCATCGGAGCATTTGGCCGAGTACCCGCCCAAATACTCGGCACCGATACTAGTATCGGTATCGGTGCAGCCCTGATTTTTACACAAAAAAAAAAGTATTATATTGCGTTTCTGTGTGCAAAAAATAATCATTTGATAAATCTTTGCGCAAATATTGTGTGACATAAAGAAAAATCGGCTATCATTTCTTATCCTACAGGGCCTCTGCTGTCAGAAAATATAGAATTGTTTGGAGGTTTAAAGTCATTTTCAAAAATTCAGATCTTAACGTGTGTGAGAAAAGAAAACATTGCTCCGGTACTGAGGTGGCAAAAGCACAGAGATCGATATTCAGCCAGACAGACATTGCATTAGATTTGTGGTCAGTTCTTTCCAGAGTGTCAGCACATTAGAACTAAATCCGGAACATGGAAAAGATCTGCATCCAGGAGCCAGAAGGAGTTGGAAAGATCAGCTGAAATGCAGACTCTCCCTCAGAAACTGAAATTAGACTGTTAAAGGAGAACTATGAGGGGGGTGCTTTTCACTCACCTCATAGTTCTAGCCGACCTGTGACAATGAGACTGTCACTGTAAAGCCGACAGTCGGCTCTACAAGTTTAAACAGAGTCCCGGCGGCAAAAGTCGCCGGGAGTCTGTTTAAACAGCCCCGATGCTGGCGACGTACACTGTACGTCGTCAGTCACGAAGGGGTTAATGGTGATTTTGGGGGTCTGAACATTTCTGGCATTAGAAACGGTGGCTGGGATTTTTTTTTATATAAACGACTTCTGGTTTCTCTATCCTGGTAACAGGTGAACGAGGCGGAGGAGGAACGACTGCGCAGCGAGTTTGAGCACCAGCGGGTGACCCGGCTGTGCCATGCAGCTGAAGCCAGAGTGCAGACCTTGCAGAAGAGCCTGAAACGCGTCATCATCAAAAGCCGCCCCTACTTCGAACTGAAGGCGCAGTTCAATACCGTTCTAGAGGTAACCTTACTCTCTGCTGTGTGACAAGGATCAGATGCCGCTGGTCTGGTCTCAGTGATAAATATGCATTTAAATGAATACTGTACTCTGTGTACACTTATATTAATTCCAAAACTCCCGAACCCCAGAGAAGCTAAAAAGAAGAAAAAAAACGGCGTCCCAATAATCATATTATCCTATGTAGAGCTGCAGCTAACGATTATTTTCAAAATCGATTAGTTAGCCGATTATTAAGTTCGATTAATCGGATAAACAATAAAAAAAAATGGCTCCAGTGATGGACTACTAGTTTGTATTGAGATTGTAGTCCATCACAGGAGCAAGCTTGGAGCGGTGGAAAAAAATAGTGTGTTGTGCAATATAGTGAAAAGGAAAGTGTAAAATTATACAGCAATCAATGCAGAATGCACCGACTATAGAGGAATACAAAACCCAGCAATAGTACATTATACAGCGCAATGCAGAATACCACCAGCTATAGAGGACTACAACAAATCCCAGCAATAGTACATTATAGCTGGTGGTATTCTGCATTGCGCTGTATTATTGCTGGGATTTGTAGTCCTCTATATAGCGCAGTGCAGAATATCACCAGCTATATAGGAATACAACAAATCCCAGCAATACATTATACATGCAGTGTATAATGTATTGCTGGGATTTGTATTCCTATGTATAATATAGAGCACAATGTACCATCAGCTATAGAGGAATACAAATCCCAGCAATACATTATAGAGCGCCATGTGTGGGAAAGTGCAGGCTTACCTGACCAGTCTTCCAGCAACTTGCTTCTGAGATCAGACCTGTCTATCGGCGGCTGTCATCCCCCCACACCTGCTCCTCCTTACTACATCTCCCCGCGTCCCTGTGCCAATCGTGGATGTGGGCGGGCGGTGAGTGTGAGGCGGGGAGGAGGTGCGGCGTGAAGAGCGTGTGTGGAGCCGTGAACAGGGCTAACTGATCGGAAGCCGATTAATCGATTATTGAAAAAGTTGACAATTTTTTCAATAATCGATTATGTCGATTGGTTGTTGCAGCCCTAATCCTATGTGCAAAATCCTAAGGCGAGTCTGTGTATCTCAAAGGTTACAGTCAAGTCTTCTATTTATATCATTTTAAATGGCTTAAAATTAATACCAGGGGCCCTCTTTCATATAGCTAGTAGTTCATATTTCCAAACCAATAGCTCAGTAAATCTGCTGATCAATTTAATACTATATTAGGTCATCTCCGATTACTACTGGTGCTAACCCAGCTCTCATAAATGTGCTAAAACCCCTTTATTGTGAGCGTTAAAATAAATCCTCACTGAGCTCTTTAACTACAGGCACTGTGCAGCAATTCATCCACAAAGTCCACAGAAGAATCTATGAAGTCATTCAAGTCTCTTTTTCCACATCTTAGCCCCCCAACCCCAGCAGCCAGTCACTAGCACAGCCCCCCTACTCCCCTTCATCCTCCCGTTAGGGACTCAGCAGCTCAGCTTCTGCTGAATTCCCCTCCCAGCAGTCACTTAGCAGCTCAGCTCCCCCTGCTCCCCCCCCCTCCCAGCAGTCACTTAGCAGCTCAGCTCCACCCTGCCAGCTGTGACCCAACAATTTAGCTCTTCCTGTCCCCCTTCCGTGCAATGACTCAGCAGCTCAGCTCCCCCTGTTCCCACCTTTTCATGAGCTTAGCTACCCTCTCCCTGCAATGACTCGACAGCTTAGATCTCCCTGCTGCCCCTCCCAGCAGTGGCACAGCAGCTCAGCTCTCCCTCCTAATTGTGACTAAGCAGCACACCCCCTACCCCCTGCTGTGACACAGCAGCTCAGCTGCCCCGTTGTCCTCGTCCCCCAGCAGTGACTCAGCAGTACAACTGTTATCCCAGCAGTGACTAAGCAGCTTGGATCCCCCTGTTCCCTCCCAGCAGTGGCACAGCAGCTCAGCTCTCCCTCCCAGCATTGACTCAGTAGCTCAGCTCCCCCTGTTTCCTCCCATCAGTGACTCAGTAGCTCAGCTCCCCCTGTTTCCTCCCATTTCCCTCTGTTCTCTCCCAGCAGTAGCTCAGCTCCCCCTGTTCCCTCCCATCAGTGACTCAGTAGCTCAGCTCCCTCTGTTCTCTCCCAGCAGTAGCTCAGCTTCCCCTGTTCCCTCCCAGAAGTGACTCAGTAGCTCAGCTCCCCCTGTCCCCTCCCATCAGTGACTCAGTAGCTCAGCTCCCCCTGTTCCCTCCCAGAAGTGACTCAGTAGCTCAGCTCCCTCTGTTCTCTCCCAGCAGTAGCTCAGCTCCCCCTGTCCCCTCCCATCAGTGACTCAGTAGCTCAGCTCCCTCTGTTCTCTCCCAGCAGTAGCTCAGCTCCCCCTGTCCCCTCCCATCAGTGACTCAGTAGCTCAGCTCCCTCTGTTCTCTCCCAGCAGTAGCTCAGCTCCCCCTGTCCCCTCCCATCAGTGACTCAGTAGCTCAGCTCCCTCTGTTCTCTCCCAGCAGTAGCTCAGCTCCCCCTGTCCCCTCCCATCAGTGACTCAGTAGCTCAGCTCCCTCTGTTCTCTCCCAGCAGTAGCTCAGCTCCCCCTGTCCCCTCCCATCAGTGACTCAGTAGCTCAGCTCCCTCTGTTCTCTCCCAGCAGTAGCTCAGCTCCCCCTGTCCCCTCCCATCAGTGACTCAGTAGCTCAGCTCCCTCTGTTCTCTCCCAGCAGTAGCTCAGCTCCCCCTGTCCCCTCCCATCAGTGACTCAGTAGCTCAGCTCCCTCTGTTCTCTCCCAGCAGTAGCTCAGCTCCCCCTGTCCCCTCCCATCAGTGACTCAGTAGCTCAGCTCCCTCTGTTCTCTCCCAGCAGTAGCTCAGCTCCCCCTGTCCCCTCCCATCAGTGACTCAGTAGCTCAGCTCCCTCTGTTCTCTCCCAGCAGTAGCTCAGCTCCCCCTGTCCCCTCCCATCAGTGACTCAGTAGCTCAGCTCCCTCTGTTCTCTCCCAGCAGTAGCTCAGCTCCCCCTGTCCCCTCCCATCAGTGACTCAGTAGCTCAGCTCCCTCTGTTCTCTCCCAGCAGTAGCTCAGCTCCCCCTGTCCCCTCCCATCAGTGACTCAGTAGCTCAGCTCCCTCTGTTCTCTCCCAGCAGTAGCTCAGCTCCCCCTGTCCCCTCCCATCAGTGACTCAGTAGCTCAGCTCCCTCTGTTCTCTCCCAGCAGTAGCTCAGCTCCCCCTGTCCCCTCCCATCAGTGACTCAGTAGCTCAGCTCCCTCTGTTCTCTCCCAGCAGTAGCTCAGCTCCCCCTGTCCCCTCCCATCAGTGACTCAGTAGCTCAGCTCCCTCTGTTCTCTCCCAGCAGTAGCTCAGCTCCCCCTGTCCCCTCCCATCAGTGACTCAGTAGCTCAGCTCCCTCTGTTCTCTCCCAGCAGTAGCTCAGCTCCCCCTGTCCCCTCCCATCAGTGACTCAGTAGCTCAGCTCCCTCTGTTCTCTCCCAGCAGTAGCTCAGCTCCCCCTGTCCCCTCCCATCAGTGACTCAGTAGCTCAGCTCCCTCTGTTCTCTCCCAGCAGTAGCTCAGCTCCCCCTGTCCCCTCCCATCAGTGACTCAGTAGCTCAGCTCCCTCTGTTCTCTCCCAGCAGTAGCTCAGCTCCCCCTGTCCCCTCCCATCAGTGACTCAGTAGCTCAGCTCCCTCTGTTCTCTCCCAGCAGTAGCTCAGCTCCCCCTGTCCCCTCCCATCAGTGACTCAGTAGCTCAGCTCCCTCTGTTCTCTCCCAGCAGTAGCTCAGCTCCCCCTGTCCCCTCCCATCAGTGACTCAGTAGCTCAGCTCCCTCTGTTCTCTCCCAGCAGTAGCTCAGCTCCCCCTGTCCCCTCCCATCAGTGACTCAGTAGCTCAGCTCCCTCTGTTCTCTCCCAGCAGTAGCTCAGCTCCCCCTGTCCCCTCCCATCAGTGACTCAGTAGCTCAGCTCCCTCTGTTCTCTCCCAGCAGTAGCTCAGCTCCCCCTGTCCCCTCCCATCAGTGACTCAGTAGCTCAGCTCCCTCTGTTCTCTCCCAGCAGTAGCTCAGCTCCCCCTGTCCCCTCCCATCAGTGACTCAGTAGCTCAGCTCCCTCTGTTCTCTCCCAGCAGTAGCTCAGCTCCCCCTGTCCCCTCCCATCAGTGACTCAGTAGCTCAGCTCCCTCTGTTCCCTCCCAGAAGTGACTCAGTAGTAGGCGAGGGGGCGGGAGGGATCTGCGGCCGGTCTTCACATGTAAAATCTAGTTACATGTGCAGCTACCCCGAAGGTAAGACCTAACGCTATCTTCAGAGATGTCTGTAATATAAGACCTACCCTGAACTAGGTCTTATTTTCCGGGAAACACGGTAGTGAGCCAGGTAAGCCTGACAGCCAGGAAATCAGCATTTGTAAATGAAGAGGCCAGAATCGGCAGCCTCAATGTTTCTTGACAGGTTCGCAGCAGATTTTGAACACGTATAACTTTATAACTTGCTTCGTCCTTTTACAGGAACACAAGGCCCGTGTCACGGCTCTGGAGGTCTCGGTGTCTCAGGCCAAGCTGCGATACTCGGAGGCGCTCCGCAATTTGGAGCAAATCAGCGAGGAGATCCACGCCCGGCGCACTAAAGGCCCCCTTCTAACACTCAGGGCCCCACCACTTGGGGCCGAAGCCCCCGCCCCTCTGACAGACGGCGAGACGGGCCCGCCCTCCGACACGGTTTCCCTCCTCAGCCTGCAGACCATCGCTTCCGACTTGCAAAAAAGCGACTCGGTGGAGCACCTGCGGGGCCTGAGCGACGTCACCAGTCTGGACGGAAGAGATATGGAGAGCGAGGAAGGAGAGAGCAGCGGAGGCCGGGAGAGAGGTGGCGACAGAGGAAGCAAGGGGATGTTCGCCCATCACAGGAGTGTCAGCCTCTAAATTAAGGAGGAACCAGCCAGATTCATATTAAAAGACTTCCAACTAGCAGAGCAGGCGCCTTGTGGGTAAAGACAGACAGGTGCTCTTGACTTAAAAACTTGGGAAAGCACCAAACAAAAGGGAGCTGACCGCACTACAGTGTCTCTTTATGGGCATTTAAGTCTTACAGGATGGAAGCAAGGGAAACAAAAACTGACAAGTGACATTCTACATCCAATAGGGGAACATTTGTAGTGTAAGATGACGGTTCTAGAGCCATTGGTACAATGATGGTAGAGAATGCGAGAAACCAGTATTCTGGGAAGGGAGACACCGCGCGCTGCTATGAGAACGCTCTCTGTTGTTTGATGCAGCGCCCGGAATGTCTCCATTTCAATAAATATACATTGATGTGTCGCTGTCTGTGTAGACTGACTACAGAAGACTCCTCAAAGCAGCTTTCCCAGCCAGGGTTCCTCCAGAGGGGGAGAGAGGGGTTCCTTGAGAAATTAGGGATATCGACCTCTCACAAAATCAACCACTAGTAGCATTCTTCCCCACTGACCCCCAATGTAAGGGACATTCTTCCCACTGACCCCCAATGTAAGGGACATTCTTCCCACTGACCCCCAATGTAAGGGACATTCTTCCCACTGACCCCCAATGTAAGGGACATTCTTCCCACTGACCACCAATGTAAGGGACATTCTTCCCACTGACCACCAATGTAAGGGACATTCTTCCCACTGACCACCAATGTAAGGGACATTCTTCCCAATTTTTGTTTATTAAAAGACTAGCAATCAATAAACATAAAATCCATATGCAGAATAAACATAAATAAATAATTATATATATATATACACAAAAGTAAATGTAGCAAAATCTGCTGTCAAACCAAATTATGACTTGATATGCAAATGATGCATAATATGACCCAACGATCTCCAGAAATCTCCTACATAGAGATACATCACTGAGGGGGAGATAAATCCTACACCTCGAGGTATTCAGAGTCACAGACAACATACAGTGATCAGAGCACTCCACCACCTTCAGCTCAGGAGCCGAGAAAGCAGAGTTCTCCTGTAAAAAAAACCTATCTATCCTACTCTGACTACTCCCTCTCTGAAATGTGAACCCCGTGCTGCCAGGGCAGTGCTTAATATGCACATCTACCAGGCCCCTGCTTGTCTAACCATATCTCTAAACAAAACGCTATCGTAACCCTGCTGTCTATGGAGCCCCTCCTGTCTTCATGCCTAATGATGGTGTTAAAATCACCTCCAAAGACAACCTGCCGGGACGTAAAAAGGAAGGGCTTGATCTTTGTGAGGAGGCATTTCCTGTCCCATTTTGACTGCGGCCCATAGATGTTAATCAGGCGCAGGTCCTGCCCCCTAACAGAGACGCCTAGGACCATGCATCTGCCCATTTCCACCTCAATTACCCGCCGGCACGTTACCATATTGGTCTTAAAAAGCACCGCGACTCCACTGTAGGGCTCAGCCGCAAGAGACCAAAAGGAGGGACCGCATCTCCACTCCCTTTTTGCTAGATAGACATCGCTCAAAGTATTGAGCCAGGTCTCTTGCAAAAATAAAATCTCAGCATCAAACTCGCTGAGCAAAAATAAGGCCGAATCACGAGCTCTTGCAGATCTAATGCTGGCGACATTAATGGTCGCCACCTTTAACGGAGCGGGAACTGCCATCAGGATGATTGGGGTAGACGTTTCTTAACCTCAACCACACTCTCATCACCCGAAACAACTCTCTTAAGACTGCGCGACTCTCCCTCATCCATAGATGATGAGATGGAAATATCAGACACCATCTCATCCTCTGACAAAACTGAAAACATATTTTCAAGAGGAACCCCTCCTGGGTCTGACTCTGAGGAAGAGAGGACTGCTCTTATCCTCTTCTTCTTTTTCTTCCTCTTAACCCCCTCCCACCCACCATCAACAGAAACCCCAACAGGAGGTGAGACATGGGGCACGGGCACCTCTCCTCCAACCCCCCCTCCCCATCCAGCACCTCCGTACTCTCCTGACCACATTTGTGCTGTTTAGGGACAGGTACCAGAGGTGGTGCAGGCAGAGAGGGAAGATCCGCCAAACCTGCCCCCCCAGCAGCTTCCGCCAGTCTGGAGGATCTACGCACAGGAGTTCTAGGAACCAACAAAGGGGGGACAGACTCAGGGACCACATTACTAGGGGAGACAGACTCTGACACAACAGATGTAACGGACACAGAAGGGGCAACACAACTTTCCTCCCTAGCATCAGCTGCCTCATCCTCCTCATCCAGCCTCTGCAGCTCGGCCTCCAGTCCTGGCAAGTTATGGAGTGCCAGTGGGCACTGACTGTACGAATGGCCCAGCTGCTGGCACAAATTGCACCGGATGTGGGTGCATTCCCTGATGCAAAATGACCTTTATCGCCACATTTGTTGCACACCTTAGGCTGACCCTGATAGAAAATGGTCAGCCTATCCCTCCCCAGAAAGGCTGAGCAGGGCAGGTGCTGCACTACATTGCTCAGCACCCTCAATTGCAGCGACACCGTCCAGGCCCCTGTCCATATCCCGTGCTCATCCAGCACCTTCCACAGTGGGGTGAGGACCTCGCCATATCGGCGCAGCCATACAACCACATCAGCCTCTGGTATGGATTCATTGCGAACCAGGATGGTTACTGACTTTATCAATGGTTGCCTTGAAACCACCTTCGGCACCAAACCTCTCCACTGCTGGAGGCCCCTGTACCTCCTATACCTCTCCACTGCTGGAGGCCCCTGCACCTCCTATACCTCTCCCAGAAAATATCCAGACCTTCTGGCTTCATAAACGACAAATCGTATTCGTAGCTCCCCACTGGACAAATCAAAGCAAAAATATCGGAGGCTTTAAACCCCATCTCTAAAATCAGCTCAGCCACCTTCCCCCTTACTAGTGGGGCTCCCTCCCCCTCCCACCTCAACTGCACCACATTCCTCCTCCTGTACCCACCAACCAGCCCTCCACCAAACCTCACCGAATTGCCAACATTCCCTCCACCCTCCTTAGTACGACTCCCCAAAGCAGAAGCATAGCTCCCCTCATTCCTTCCTGCAGAGGAAACACCTGACACAATTTTAGCAGATCCTGATTGCACAGATACGAGATTGGACGATGAATCCGTTCTCTGCTGAGCAGGGGGAGAAATGTCAGCAACATTTACCCCCTCACCACCACCCACCACCAACACAGGCACATTATCACCAGGCACATTATTTGCAGGCACACTGATAGTCTCTGCTATCTTCACAGCAGTGTCCACACTCACTGCTGCACCAGCAGGCATGTCCTCCTTCAGGACTGAGGTCTCAGCTGTGGAAAGTTGAGGCTGTTCTGACACAGCACCAGGTGAATCACAGGCGACATCCATGGCTGCTACCACTCCACCTGCAGCACTGTGCTGCTCCCCTCCAGCATCAATCAGCTCTGGAACACATGGAGACTCAGGTGAAGCAAAAACTCCACTGCTGGTGGCCATCTTGCTTGCAGCAGTCTGAGAGGCACTACCGGTCTCAGCATAGGCAGACAATCCAGCAGAAAGCTCTTTCTCTTTCCTCTCCTCAGCTGGGACACCATCCACCACAGCCGGTGGGGCAGACATGCTGGAAGGTAGCTCAGTGTACTGCGATCTCTCCACCATCACTGGCTTTGCTGGCCTGTACCTCCTCTGCCCATCCTCAGGGATTTCTGACGGATCATCAGAAAAAGCAAACTTATCTGCCCTCAGGGGTGACTCCATCTGCTGGATAAATCTCAGGGTGCCGTGACCACTCTCAACCCCCTGGCTGGTTGCCGCGGATGATTCCCCAGCCTGACATGGGGGGAGAGGTGCTGAGCCAGACGGTACAGGGTCAGGCTGCCGATCCACAGGCGCTGCCGATGTCTGGCTGGCGAATCTTCTTTCGTTTTCAAACTTTTCTTTAAAAGCTCCACTTTTGGCTTTTAAGTTTCTTCAACAATAAAGATTGTTTCTTCACCTTCTCACTCTTCAGCTGTAACTCCGGCCTCATGGGCGACCTGTGCTTGATCCAGGCCTGGCAGTACCTGACCCGGAGTGACTTCTGATCAGCCTTCAAAGCTTTCAGCTTTTTCTCAGCTTTCCTAATAGCCATCAATCGCTCAACAATCTTCTGACTGTACACAGTCATATCCTCACCACGGCCCGGACCCACCGACAGGTCCTCCACCTCCTCCTCACTAGGCCCTGTGTCATCAGGGGGATCTGTCCCAGGGCCACCCCCAGGATCAGGCATTGTTGCTGGGCCAAGCTAGCAGGCAAGGCCCAGGCTTGAGAATGCTGGTTCTCAGAGCTCCTTCACTGTGTGCTCCTCCTCTTCCCACTGACGACCAATGTAAGGGACATTCTGACCCCCAATGTAAGGGACATTCTGACCCCCAATGTAAGGGACATTCTTCCCACTGACCGCCAATGTAAGGGACATTCTTCCCACTGACCACCAATGTAAAGGTGCCCATACACCTTACGATTATCGGACAAAACGTTTCGTCCGATGATCGAATAGTCGTACGATTTTCGTACGGCAGCCCCATCCTGCCCCGATGATCGCAAGAATCATTTAGCCGTAATTAACCAAAAGCACCTGGACGAAATGCGGTAATTGATTTGCCGTATTTTTGTTAGCGCAAGCGCAGTGTACATCGTACGACTTTTGACGGAAACGCCAGCAACCTTACGACAATCGCACGATCTAGCAAAGTTTTCAAACATGCTTGACCGTCAAAAGTCGTACGATTGTACAGTATTGTCGGTCGAACACTGCAATGCACACATACGATTATCGGACGAAAAGTCGATCGCATACGATTATCGTCCGATAATCGTAAGGTGTATGGGCACCTTTAGGGACATTCTTCCCACTGACCTCCAATGTAAGGATCATTCTTCCCACTGACCACCAATGTAAGGAGCATTCTTCCCACTGACCGCCAATGTAAGGAGCATTCTT